TCATAAGTTATACAAAAATATACAAATGTACATTAAAAACTATAGAGGCACGTTTGTTTTAAAATGTTATATTATCGTATTTTTCAATTAAGCATTTTTTATAAATGTTACGCAGTTTTTAAAATCAATGTATATTGCTTTTGTAGGGGTAATTTATATTTTAGAGCAATTGATAAGCAATGCTGCTTGCAACAAGGTTTTGCACCGTTTTCAACACTTAGAGCTGGTTTTGGTTTTAGGCAGTAATGGATGAATTGACTCAGAAGAAAGAGGAGGTGAGGTATAAGTGGAAGAGGTCTGGAGTGATGAATTCCATGCTGATCTACTGTTGGTGCTTGAGCTCTGTGCAGGGCAAATGATGAGCTAGTGAACACTAATCTCTCATGCTGCTGGAAACTCATATCATTGGAACCAAGCCTGATTCCAAGTGGGGACAAGAATGTGAATTGCTACCAAGTAAAGTGTGTGTGTGTAACACACAACACACACACACACACACACACACACACACACACACATATATTTTTGAGTTGGAGTCTCACTCTGTCGCCCCAACTGGAGTGCAGTGGCACCCTCCTGGCCACCGCAGCCTTGACCTGCTGGGCTCTGGCTATCGTTCTGCCTCAGCCTTCCAGGTAGCCGGAACTATAGGCATGTGCTACCATGCCCAACTAATTTTGATTTATTGCAGAGATGAGGTCTCGTCAAGTTGCCCAGGTGGGTCTCGAACCTGCAGGCTCAGGCAATCCACCTGCCTTAGCCTCCAAAAGTGCTGGGATTACAAAAGTGCTGGCCACCGAGCTCGGCAAATGTATATATTTTTGTCCCCAGCCATATATCTGTCCTCAGACATTTTATTTATTTTATTGTATTGTAGAGCTACTTTCCATGTGCATGAGCTGGGACCAACTGGCATATCAGGATATTGTCACATGATTTTCTCTTTTATGTGGAATGAAAGACATCTGATCAAATAATGCTGTTTATTTCCTTTTTTTTTTTTTTTTGAGTCAGAGTCTCACTCAGTCACTCAGGCTGGAGTGCATTGGCATGCTCACGGCCACCACAACCAGGGACTATAGGCGCATGCCACCACATCCAGCTAATTTTTTTATTTATTGTAGAGATGGGGTCTCACCAAGTTGCCCAGGCTGGTCTCAAACCCATGGGCTCAGGCAATCATTTCACCTTGGCCTCCCAAAGTGCTGGAATTACAGAAGTGAGCCACTGCAGCCAGTCCAAATAATGCCGTTTTTATGGCATGTTCTCCATTTCTAACTGGAAGATCAGACAGTGCAGAGTCAACATGACTCTTTAGTTTTGATTTTGTTCTTTAGTGTGTATCTTTCCTCTCTAAATCATCTGAAGGTTTTATTCCTTCATATTGATTCCGATTAACTTTGCTATAGAATAAGTTGGTAAATCATCACATCAAAGATTTTTACAGTAAAGTATAATCATGACAATGCTTTAAAAAGAGTTCAAGATGAGAAGTTTTTTCTTCCTGTGTTCTCTCATACCAACCTCTATAATATGCTGGTTATAAACAGCTTTATTTTCTAATATAATGAATATAGCATCTCTTTGATTCAAAAATTAGTTTTATCAACCAGATTCTAAAATGCTCTTCATATTTACTTACAGCTTACAGTTTGTTTAAGTAGAGTTAATATTTTTGTATATACCAAAAATATTGACTAGTTTAAGGATGATTATGGATCAAATTAAAAATTTTAAACCAGGCTATCTTCTTAGAAGCTTGTTCTTTGACTCCAAAATTATGAATTGTTACTCAGAAACAGACTTCGCATACTCTTTTATTCACTGGTTCATTTAGCCAGGAATTAACTGGCAACATGCTCTTGATAAAACATTTATGATACATTGTTTCTGAAAATAACCTAAGGGACATGAAATGCCCATTTTTCTGATTATGGAAGTTTGTATTCCTAATTAGTTTAAATCTGTATCACTGCCCTGCAGAGATGTTTTTCTCAAACTATTGTCTAATATCATACATTCTTTGCATTTGGAAAGGCAAGTCTTCAAAAATGTAATAAGTCAATTTAAATAGTTTATCTTGCAAAACTGAAGTTAAAGACATGATTATTTCATCCAAGACTCTTATTTTTTAGTGAAATGAAGTTCTCCTAGATGTCATCTCAGGAAGGCTCTCCAAGTGAATTTGGAGTCCTCCTTTGGTCATAAATTGAAAACTATGCCATTCCTTTTTGCCTCTCCTGACAGAGGTCTCAAAATTAAAAGTATATATAGATTCTTTCCTCAAAATTTGTTTTGGCTGTACTTTAATTAGTTATATGTATTTAATTATTTAATAGATGCTTTAAAGTTATACACTGTTAGAAGTAATTTTAAGAGTTCTAAATATAAATAATAAATATTTTAGACATAAAATGCAAATGTTTAGTTTACTTTTTATATTGTATAAATGCTCTTATGTAGGTGCTTGGCAAGATAGACATTACAGAACAACTTTTTATCTGATATTCTAGTTTTAGAAGTTCAATGATATAAATAAAGAAGGTGGAAAACAAAAAATAATTTTAAAAAGTCTCTTTCGTTACTATTTCTGTGTTGATTTTAATATTCTATTAATATTCAAATGTGTTTAATATTCAAATGTATCATGTAATATTCAAATGTGTTCACCTATTCTTAACCCAAACATATTCTAAATACAAATTAGTGTTTTTCTTCTTTCCTGACCTTTTACCTTTTCCCAAAAGATACTTCTCGTAGCAGACGGATTAGAAAAATGGAACCAACCCATGTTAATCAACAAGAGAATTAATAAATTGTAGTTTATTCATGTTTTGAATATTACACAGCAGATTAAAAAATGAAACAGATCTATATATTAATATAAACATATTACCAAGTATTATGATAGATACAAATGAAGTTGCAAAATACTGTTTGTCACTTAGGCAAAAAAATATAATTATATTTTTCAAGGCTATATCGTTTAATATAAATTCTTAATAAGAATTTAGGAAGGATGCATGCAAAATTCATATCTAATTTATATCCAGGAGAGGAGATTTGATGTTTGTTGACGTTTAAAAGGACTTGAGTTTTTTAGTATAATTTGAAAAGTTTTTTTAACATTTTTTTAAACTTATAATTTGTACTTTTAAGGAAGTTTTCCATTAAAGTGCTAAACATGCATAACTTTAATTATATCTCTAGCTTTGGTGACTGATGTCTCTAGGTGGATGCTAAGTTTTGCTGACACAATGCTAGGGACACTGAGAAACAGGAAGTGGTCATTTACCAAATTAAAAGAAATTCTTTTGCTATAAAATATCTGTCTTTATACTGATACCTCTTGTTCTTCTGTTGACCTTCCCTAACCCTTAAGAAATCATGGAAATTTTAAGATAACAGTACAATGACTATGAGTTGAACAAAGGTAAATTGGACCATGTCAGCTTGGCAAATTGTCAAGCTGTTTTTGTATTTATTTCTTTCAACTTTAACATCCACAATTTATTAAGTGAGACTGTGTATCAAAGCGGAAACTCAGAATCCTGTTTGGACACCGTTTAGGAAGGAAACTAGGTCTTTATGGGGCACCCCCTTCCTCTTAGCCGCTGGCCAGGAAAACCATCTTTCTGTATGAAACCTATTCAATCTGAGAGAGGTGGGGTGACTTCGGGAAGGAAGATGACCTCTCCCTTGTAAAGTGGAATTGCTCTGTTTCCCCCATGACTTATTCAACTCATTTCCAGCACTGTTTATAAGAACACTTGTGTGAATGCTTGTAATGACAGCAATAGTCATTTAAAATATGACTCAAATTTTATGCCCTCAGATTTCCTATGCTACTTAAAATTTTGATTATTACAATCCCAAACAATGCTTTTGATGAACTCAAGTTTTGCTGAATTCCTTTTGGAATTAGCAGATATGCTTCTTAAAACCCAGACATTTAATCAGTACATATACTACTGTGTGTAATAAAATCATGACTGTTATCAAATCTGAAAAGAGAATGATTAAATCAAGCTAATTAACATGCCCTTCATGGAAGCCAAATAGTTTCCAAAAGTTGCTTTCCCTAAAAGTTTTATATGTTGAGGTCCCCAGGTAGATTCATATATGGAACTGATGTGACATGTTGGCCAAGGGAGGCTGTCAGAGGAAGTTGTTTATTGTGAAGATTTGCTGGCATTTTGAATGTTTTTGGATTTTGACCTCAATTGTAGCTAGGCTGATTTAATTTGCATTGTTTCCTGGCTAGTGAAACACTGATCATTTTATTAAAATCTGCTTCTTCAGTGATTTCTTTAAAATACTAATCTTTTTTTGGAAATAATTTTGGATTTATAGAAAAGATATGAAGAGAATACAGAGAGCATCCATTTACCCCACACCTAAGTTCTACTAATGTTAACATTTTACATTACCATGATGCATTTGTCAAAACTAAAAAACAAAGTGATATTGGTACATTACTGATCTTTATTTAGATTTTCATTTTGGCACCAATATCCTTTTTCTGTTTCAGAATCTTGTCCAGAGTACCACTTTGCATTTAGCCATTTTATCGCCTTAGTTTCTTCTGATCTATGACAGTTTCCTGCTCTCTCATTTTTTCCCATGACCTTGACAGTCTTGAAGAGTATTGGCCAAGAATTTTGAAGAATATTCATCATTTTTTAGTAACTAAAAATGTGTTACTGCTGGAATTTTTGAAGGAAAAGCCCATTTAGTCTAGCCATGGTTTGCACCAATAATTTTTCATCAACACATCAGTTTTGGCCTGATGATTGTTACTTTGTCTTCTTATCTACAGTGTGTTACAGCAGCACTCTAGAAGTAAAAGTTGATTTATGGTGGATTAAATATTTGCTTAATAATTGCTTTATCTGTGATCATTCTGCATTCACAACTTTGCCAAAGTTACTTTTGGTTATTCAGTTTAAACCACATGGAAAGTTTTCATGAATGTGCATTTTATCTTCTGTTTGTGACAGATTAGAGATGGACAACCAAATTGTTATGTGTTGAAGAATAAAGATTTAGAACAAGCTTTTAAAGGAGTTATTTACTTAGAGATGGATCTCATATATAATCCGGTAAGTCTGACTGGGCCATGTCTCCCAGTTTTTCTATACTTGAAATAAAAGGTGACTACTAACCTTTAGAGGCTCAAATCACTGTAAAATGTTTCAGAATTGTTTGCAGCTGAAGAGAGGACAGAACAGTGTTTTAAAACTCAGCCATAAAATGTACTGAACATCCCAGCTTTCAACTGGTATTAACCCTGTTAAGTCAGCAAAATTGATGGTGTTTAATACTCTGTAAATCTAAATGTTAAAGAAAAAAAAGAGAAAATAAAATTTTAAAAGTTTTTCTATAATCTATATATTATATAAAATCTATATAATATGAAATCTATATATGACATATGTATTGTATGATAGACATATAGTATACACATGTAGATATATACATATATATATCTCCCCCCCCCTCCAAGTTCCTGGTAATGTGAGGTCACTGGACTTAGTCTCCAGTGTAAGGGTGTGTGTGGTTTTTTTTCTCATTTCCTTCAAGGAAATACATGTGCATGTTGCATAACAGATTACTTTTCTCTCCTGCTTTCTTCTAGAAAACATTTTTGTATATAGATTATGCACACAAGTAAAATCTGAGTTTAAGGGGAAAGAGGGACAGAACCTTAAACAGGGAATATTTTTGATTAAGAGAATTTTCAGTTGCCCATCTGATATAAGGGAGAAGGACTTGAATTTTATTCTTCTAGCTTTTACTCAGCCTGGCAGTTTGAACAAGTCACTAAGTCCTTCTGAGCCTCAGTTTATTCCCCATAAAATGGGTCTAAAATGACTCATCTACTTATTTTTCCATGTCATTGAAAGATAATGAGATTCTCTGTGGAAAGGGTGTTTTTTGGAAACTGTTATTCACATGCCAGATATTATTGGTGACAGCTTAATTCAAAAGGATGTAAGAGGAAAGGTTTATTTTTCAGAGCTGTTAGTTTGAGAACTGCATGAAACTCAATCTCTCTAGTAGTTTGAAATACCTCCATGGAATTAGCCAAGTGGAGGACAGTCCCCCAGATCCATTCCAAGCTACCCCAGGGATTTTGATGAAATGAGATCCTCAGAAACGTGTGCGAGGCACAAGGGTATCACCATTCCTTTGCTCTCTGCCACAGGTCAAAGATCAGAAGGTGTTAGCGTCCAAATTCTTTCTAGTCATTAGGAAGAAAGCAAGAAGAAAGAAGTTCATATAAATGCCGCCCTTTTTTTAACAATGATGTCTTTCTAGATCAAAGCAAGTATTAGGACCTTTGCTCCCAGAGAAAAGCGCTTTGTTGAAGACATCCGCAAGCTGTCCAAAAAGGTAGGTGGGTACGGTGAAGGTCTTATCATTATACTCAGCAAGCGGCACCTGAAGTACCTGTCATTACTTGCTTCTCTTCCTCCCTCTCTCTCCTCCTCACTCCCTCTCTCCCCATCTCTCTACTTCTTTTTCCTTGTCCCCTTCTCTCCCAAAGCAAGGACTGCAGTCAGCTCCATAAGAAGAAGACTTACACAAAGCTACTGGATGAAGCAGAAAATGTCAACCTCCTGTTGTTACTCCTCTGTATCATTCTATAGACAATTCCTAGCATCAATACTCCGTAAACATCTTCCTGAATTTACTAGCTCCGCCTACCTTCCTTTAATGACAGACATTTCAGCCTGAGCCCTTTGAAGTTACAGGGAGGTGCCCTGCCTGTGGAGTCAATAATGGAACTAACCCGACAGATCTTTAGGAACTTCTCCTGGGATTCACCCGTGGCTTCTCCTGCCATTTTTGCGTTGTGTGAATTTGGGCTATGTTGGCATTTCATCCCATTTTGAGCTAACTATCCCTTCCTTTACGTATTGCCCTTAGTCCACTCTTATCAGTTCAGCAAAAAGTGAAGATCAAGGCCCAGTAGGGGAAGTGTCACATTTTTTTTACTGTGACCTTTGCGTTTCTTTTGCAGAATCCCTCCCTGTCATATTCAGACACAGTTCAGGATTTTACTCCATACCTATTGTCTCTCTTCAGTTATGTGGTGTAGAACAAAGTGTCCCCTTTTTAAAGTGTTTATTACTTCCACCACTTCCTCTGGGGTGAGCAGCTGTGGATTACATAAAGCAGTTAAATATAAAAGCATCTTATCATCCTTTTGTTTCCCAAGAACTTCTGGGCATACTTGGGAAAGGCCTTAAACGTCTTCTGAGGGGAAGCCTCCAAATGTTTTGTTTTGGTCTGCAATAACATTGAGTGTAATATTTATTTTGTGTAATCTGAGCAAATGTCTTATTTTATTATTATTATTGCCTTTTGCTCTGTTTACTTGAAAGTTAAAACCTGAGTTGATGTAGGTGGGGTAGCTGCTTTGCAAGCAAATTGAAATGAATCTGCCTGCAACTGGGGGAAAGGACATTTGCTTCATAAAACATGACCACCACATGGGCTGGCTTTGGGCTCCAAGAGCACCAAGGGACTTGGGGCTGAAATCCTGGGGTATGCTGAGACCTCCTCCCCACCTGCTTCTCACCACTTAGTGCCCCCAAGTTTTCATATAATTGTAACATTTGCTTATGATATAAACACAAAAGCACTTACTATGTGAGAGGCACTTTGCTCATCCCTTCAATTATCTCAACAATCTGTAGGGTTAGAACTGATATCAACTCTATTTCATAAGAAAAAGGTTAAGTCATTTGCCCTTAGGGAAATGACTTGGATTCCCTTTCCGTAACGATACTTTTCTAAGCCGGGCTTGGTTGCTCAGCCTGTAATCCCACGCCTTTGGGAGGCTGAGGTGAGTGGATTGCCTGAGCCCATGGGTTCGAGACCCACCTGGGCGGCAGGACCTCATCTCTACAATAAAACAAAAAAATCAGCCAGGCGTGGTAGCGCATGCCTGTAATTCCGGCTACTTGGAAGGCTGAGGCAGAAGGATTGCCCGAGCCCAGCAGGTCGAGGCTGCGGTGGCCGGGAGCGGCCACTGCACTCCAGTCTGGACGACAGAGTGAGACTCCAACCCAAAATAAATAAATAAATAAATAGACGTCTAGACTAGATAAGCTATAATACTTATTTGGTTCTACTGTAAATCCATCCCTTCCCTTTTCCCTCTTCCCTGTCTTTCCTCTCTCCCTCTCTTCCCTCTCTTCTCTCTCTGCCTTCCTCTCTGTTCCCCTCTCTGTCTCTCTCCTTTCCTCCCTCTTTCCCTCCCTGTCTCTGTGTATCTCCCTCACACATATACACACAGACAAATTCACTAACACAAAATACATGTCTGTTATATCTTTCTCCAGCTCTCTTTTGTGCTGAATACAACTGAAACATTCTTTCTCAAATAAATACTAAAATGCATTGAGTTTTCTTTTCTTCTATGGATAATTGTATTTTTAAAAGCGTTTTAGAAATATCAGATCTTTTCCTTTATATTATTTTTTTAATTGGCAGTTACAACGAATGTAATTTAAATGATCAGCCTACCTGATCTAAAGGGCATATTTGGAATACTTAAATCTTGTTTCCTGTTTTCCATTTTTTAAAAATCAGATCTTATCAAGAGATGTAGACCGTGTGAAGAGAATCACTATGGCAATATGGAATACAATACAGTTCCTTAAAAGCTGCTTCCAGTGGGAATCTACATTAAGAAGTGCAATAGCATTCGTGGTAAGCTTCCTTTTTTATGTTCAAATTATTTGTGTCTTATTTGTATCCATTTATCTTTCTGAAATACCTTACAACATAGGTGACTATGGGGGTTGTCTTTCTAAGACAAATTTACCTCTGGAAATCCCTTGATTTCCGAATCTTACTCATATACTATCTCTTGGTACATTTAAGAGAGCTAGAATTTTATGTATGTTTAAATATTTCCCCAGTTGTTGTCATAGCCAAATATGTATAGTCCCGGCATTGTGTATGTTTCACTATTTCTATACTAGTGATTATCAATAATTTTTGAAAAATGGCAGCTGAAAGAAAATCACATTAATATATTGTAACTCAATAGCTCTAAATTATATATTAAGTAAATCATTCACAAACTTTGATATTAAAACATGCATTCTTATCAAGCCACTTGGGAAATACTGATCACTACGCATTACAATTTGGCTTAACGCAAAACAGAACCACTCCTATATATGCAAGGTGTCCTCTGATAACATTAGCTCATCCTTGTGAGCATAATAGAGTCAAACAAAGACCAACAAGAGATCTTAAAACCACCTAAGTCTACCATTGAGAGCCCAAGAATCTCGGAAGAACTTCAAAGTTGGTACCACACTCTCACTTTATATCTCTCGGCCTTTTCCTTTATTTGTAAAGGGACTTGTCTTTAATCATATTGGTAATGTCAGCCACTGGAGGAGAAATCAAGTCTTCCAACTTCAAATCCTTGTATATTTGGTATTATGCCTTCAATTTTTATATGAGTGGTCTCAGAGTGAATATTGGTCATATTCCCTGGTGAGTCTGATTTCTGCATTGTACATGGAGTCATTCTGCCTCCTGTTTTCTGCTGTCAATGTACCCTCATTGTTTTTTCCTATACCACAGGCTTAGCTTCATACAACATCTTCATAAAACAAACAGCAGCAGTAAAAAACATATAGAAGCCCAAGATTTCAGGGTTCAAGGTCATTCCCACTTTTTTAATGCAGTCAAGTATATCAGCTTCAGAAGAAGCTTTTTCTTTGCTACTGGGGAACATTTTGATTGGTCTAGTTTATTTTAGTTTTCCATTGCTTCAGTTGTAGAGAACCTATGCTTTCTGCAGAGTTGACATTTAATCTATTTTTTTCTGCTGTCTGAAGTCACTAAAACATTTAGCCTTAATAAAAACATTAGTAAGGGTTTTATTAATCTGTATCTGTCATTGTCTTGGCATTTATTTACCCACTTCCCTTTCTCGTGTTCTCTTCTGCTGGTGGCTTCATGTGTTGGGTTCCTCTTGGGTCTTCACAGCTTCACTTCCCACCTGAATTCCCTTTCAAAACTTTCCATGGAATGTTCTATGCAATTCTGGGCAGCAAAGGAAAGTGAACACAATTGGTGGCTTCTTCCAGTCAGCACCCCAGCCAGCCGCTGCAAGGAGGAGAGAATTTCCTCTTTCTCGAGCTTAGTTTTGGCACTGTGATTTTAGAAAAACAGAGATCTGTTGCCCTGAATTCTGTTGGGGGATGACAGAAATGATTAATGGGCTGCTGGCCTGATCTGAAGAAAGATTAGAACAAATGAATAACAATTGGTTGTCTAATGCAGGGAACTTCTAAATGGGGAGGGAGCCTTGGCAATGGGGGCCAAGTCTCTACTGCCTGTTCCCCAAGGGCATCCTCTCTGTTGGGCACCATGCGTCCTAGAGGGCCGCCAGGCTGTCAAACACAGGCTGCTGTGTTGTATTTTAAGGCCCACATAAAGCAAGATCAAGGAAGTGGTCTTGCTGATTTTTCAAAGCATGATTTTGCAAGGATACATGGGTTTATGCTACTGTGGGAGGTCCCCCTCCCCCGTACATGTGTAGAAGAGACATTTCCCACTGAGACTCAAAAAAAATGCAGAGTCGATCAGAAATGCTATATACATGAACTCTATTTTTTGGCTGTCCGACAGGTGCTGGAATGAAAAGTGTTCACGCAACACATTTTCATTTTTAATTCAAAACTCTACGTTAAAAAACTTATACCACATCTATGTTGATCAGCCAGAGTGGATCTCAGAGATACTGTACATGGAGCGAAGTGGATATTTCCCTTCCCTAAGCTGATTCTTGTTACTACTGTCATGATGGTCATTCCAAAACTGTTTCTGCTATTAAAGCAAGAGACTATAAAAATTCTTTTTTTGCTGGGCTCGGTGACTCAGCTGTAATCCCGCACCTTGGGAGGCTGAGGTGAGTGGATTACCTGAGCCTGCAGGTTCGAGACCTGCCTGGGCAACTTGGTGAGACCTCATCTCTACAATAAATCAAAAAATTAGTCAGGTGTGGTAACGCGTGCCTATAGTTCCAGCTACATGGAAGGCTGAGGCAGAAGGATCTCTGGAGCCCAGCAGGTCGAGGCTGCGGTGGCCGGGAGCGACCATTGCACTCCAGTCTGGGTGACAGAGTGAGACTCCAACTCAAAAAAAAATTTTTTAAAAATGCTTTTTTACAACAAAATAAAAAACATTATTTTAGTTTCTTATACTTTTTTTTTTTTTAATAAGTCTATTGGTAACCAAGCTTGCATTTTTTTCTTGAAAACATTTTACGTTCATGTTTGTTGCCGTTAGTCTTGCTCCCGGTCTGCAGAGGACTGCTGCTGGTTACACACCTGAGGGTGCCCTGGCTGTAGGGTTGTTTCCCTGAGCCTGGAGGACTCCATTATGGGTTGTCTTTCTGAAAAGTGTTGGATCCTCAGGTATCCTGGGCCACAAAGAGAGGTAGGGGGCTGTGAAGCCAAAACCCAGTCTTTCTTCTGCTTTCTTCACAATGAGTGCCATGTTTGTCTGCTGGTGGTGGCACATGCTGTGACTAATTCTCTGCTGTGATCTGTTCAGGACAGAATGCTGCTTGGGGTCTTTATTCATCATTGTGACACTTTGTTCATGTTCCAACTGCTTGCCTTGGCATCACAGGGCAGAACAATTTGGTGGTGGTCTGAAGCCAGGTTTTAAGCCAGGGATTTATTAAATGACCAGGCTACATTTGAAGGCCCTCTCCTCTCATTGAAATTAGGATAAATGATGTTTGAGGTGCAAAAGGAGCTGAACCAGTCCCCATGGAGATACAGTAAATGATGACCACCACAAGCGATAGGCAGAAATGAAGGAATGTTTTTTTCTTCTGTTCTGTGAGGAAACATAAAGCAGTCTATTAACTTCATGTTCTGGCCTCTTTTTCCTGATGATACAAAACATGCATATTGTAGAATCAAATTTAGTATATCCTGTATGCTAATTATAAGACTTGATGAAAGCAAACCATACATTTCCCGAGGATGCCTATGTATGTATGCAGGAATTTGTCATATCTTGTTGAAAGCAGCAGTTAAAGAAAAGCAGCCTCTTAAGATCTAGGTCCACGTGGTATCTGGTCAAAAGTAGATAGAAAACATGAGAGAATTCATCTTGCTAGATTATCCAAGAATAAACTTCCTCCACCATGGGTTTTATCCCTTCTACGCTTACATGAGTGGCTGTATTTCCAACACTAAAAGAAGTATTTGTTACCTTTAATTCACTGACACCATTAATGGGGCTGTATGCTGTTGAAATGATGATGATGATTATTATTAATATATATATTTTTTTAGTTGGAGTCGCACTCTATTGCCCAGACTGGAGTGCGGTGGCCGGCGATCCTTCTGCCTCAGCCTTCCAAGTAGCCGGAATTACAGGCATGCGCTACCATGCCCGGCTGATTTTTTGATTTATTGTATAGATGAGGTCTCGCTGCCCAAGCGGGTCTTGAACCTGCGGGCTCAGGCAATCCACTCACCTCAGCCTCCCAAAGGCGCAGGATTACAGGCTGAGCCACCGAGCCCGGCTGAAATGATTATTATTATAAGAAATTGAACTTGGGATTTTTTAGAGTGGTCAGATCATTTTAAATCATATTTCTACAGGCTCACATTTTTTGTTAGAATAAATATCAAAAATATTTTTCATTCTATCTCTTAAGTCTTTCTCCTTCCCTTAAGTTTTCTAGATATTTTGATGTGTTGCCTTTTCTAAGCTTTACTTAATTATTTTTACTAAATATATACATATATGTTTTTAAAAAGTCACATTATTGTCTTTTGCAGTTGAAGGGCAAATTAATGTGAGATGTCAATTTATTGACAGAGACCAAATATAACTAAAATATTTTGCCTTGAAGTAAGTGCAATCTATTCCTTATAAATAGTGTTGTAAATATATATGGCATCTTATACACACATATATGGTCATTCCCACACAGTGTTTGACTCTAGGGATATTAAAAGCTATGTTATTTCAGTGCTTACTGTGTATCAGACACTGTTTGAAGCATTTTTACAAATGTTAAGTCATCTAGTCCTCACAGCAACCTGGTGATATAGGTACTGGTGACTATCTTCGTTTTACAGATGAAAATGAGCCTATAGAGGTTAAGTAAAGTAGCAGAGTTCTTATGTGTTCATGAGGCAGAGGTGGAATTTGAAGTCATGTCATCTGGCTTTAGACTTCACACTTTTAACCATTCGGGTATTCTGCCTCTCATTGATGCCCAGGATTCTGTGCTTGTTGTCCTTATATTTAGACAGGGACTCTAGGAAACCATACTGATCATGTCAGATGGCATTTACATGTTACATATGGGAATTAAGCCCGTTCCGAGATTTGGTGGTATAGGGCAGCAGTCCCCAACCTTTTTGGCATCAGGGACTGGTTTCGTAGAAGACAATTTTTCTGTGGACTGGGGAGTGGGGGTTTGGGATGATTGAAGCATATTACATTTATTGTGCACTTTATTAAAATTCCCATTGCAATATCTAATGAAATAATTATACAACTCATCATAATGCAAAATCAGCAGAGGCCCTGAGCTTGTTTTCCTGCAACTAGATGTTCCTGTCTGGGAGTGACGGGAGACAGAGACACCTGAAGTTTGTTGCTTATGCCCAGTTTACTCCATAATCTCATTTTGGTTGCTGTCACTGCAGAAA